ATATTATCCATATAAATGGTGCTATTAGGACAATTTTTTTTATTTTATCTTTTTATATAATTTTCACATATTATTAAATAAGTGGATACATTTAGTATTATAAATCTCATAAAAATTAAAAAAATCAATCATTTTAATAACACATCGTATATAAAAAAAATAAAAATAAAACCAAAAAATTATACAAACACCATATCCCTATCCATATAATATTTTCATTTCATTTTCGTATAACTGCATTGAAAGATGTAGCGTGGCCCCCACTAACAGTTTACCAGGTCAATGGTCAAATCTTCACCCGCTTTAATCCCTCCATCACTCCGTCTTCTCTTTGCCCCTCCCACAGCTATCAACTTCTCGTCGTTGCCGAAGCTTTGATGGATGCCTTTGATCGGCTGCCGGACTCTCTCATCCTCCTCATCTTCACCTCCGTCTCCGACGTCAAGACTTTAATTCAGTGCGGTTTGGTGTGCAAGAGATTCTACTCGCTCGTCCCGCAGACCGAGTCGCTGCTACTGAGAATCGACAGAGTCATTTCTTCCGAGTCCGATTCGGAGTCTCTCCTCCTCACCCTTTTTAAATCTCTACTCTACTTCCTTTTGCCCAACCCCGGAACATCCCGATCCGCGCGCCGAACCCATACTTCCCCCGCCCAAATCCTCTCGCATTTCCACTCCATCCGACAACTGCGCATCGAACTACCCTCCACCGATCACGAATTAGGCAAAGGCACGGTACTGAAATGGAGAGCAGAGTTCGGCGAAACACTCAAAAATTGCGTGATCCTTGCGTTCCCTTTGACGACGCAAAATTCCGTTGACACCGGAGGCGACGATCCGGACTTTGAGGTCGGGTTGAAGAGGAGAGTGATGTGGACCATTAGCTCGTTGATCGCAGCGTCCGTCAGGCATTACCTGTTAAAAGAAGTGATTAATGAGCACGAAGAGATGGAGAGGATCATCGTCGGAGATAGGGATGGGGAGGGCGTGGTGGTAATGGAGAGGGAGGGGTTGACAGAGTGGAGGGAGCATGGAGGGGACTTGATGGGGTACGAGGATAGGAGCAGGACAGTGGTTCCATGCGTCAGGATGAGGATGAGGCACGACACAAGGTCGGATGCGACGCTAGTGGTGGCTTGGGCGGCGAAGGACGGGTCTGACATGGCACAAGATGGTGATTTGGCTTTGAAGGCGTTCGGTGGTGGGGAACATGAGGAGGCTGTTACAGGGTTGCTTAAGAGCAAGAGTTATCTTCTAGAAATGAACTCCTTTTGATAAGTGATAATCCAATTTCGTACAATTTGCAGGGTTTTGTAAGTGAGGATGGTCAGCTTGCACTAAATTGGCCATTGATTCTCCCAGAGATTGGTATCAACTATTAAGTTGATCTGTACAACACTTCTATGTATTAACGTATGTAAATTAGTTCACAGGTTTGTACAATTTAATAATGAGCTTTTTTTCAATAAAAATAAAAAATTTAAATTCAAATAGTATAGTATATTAAGGAATAAAAAAGTTTTATCTTTTATTTGACAATTTAAAATTAGAAAAATTGTAAAATTCGATCCATTTCAACAGTATTAATATCCAATAATTCTTACAAAGACATGCGAAGAGATTATTATGAAATTTAGGAAGAATTGCCTCTCAAACTTGAACTTGTTGATCAATGAAGGAAGGAACCAACAATCATATTGGGGTGTAACAGGCTAACAGCTAAACATACAGCCTGAAATTAAGCAGAAGAAAACAATACCAAGAAAAAATGACTATTGCATGACAAGAAATTAAAATCAGGAATGCAACTTTTTACTGCCTTTTCGAAAATGCAATGTTTCAGTAACTTAAATAACAAAAGGTAATATCAATCCATACAACAACTTTCCCCTAGAAGATTGAAATGGAGGAGACGAAAATCATCGAGTGCGAGTCTTCAACACCTTGGGTACAACACCTTGGGTACATCTCCAAGCTCATTTGAAAAAGGAAGAACATAATTGTCCAGGAACTTTTGTGGAGACATCCTGAAAAGTGAAGTCAATTTAGTTTTCTTTCTAAGCAAATTCTTCCTTTCTAAAATTTCATAAACTGCAAGACGAGGTTCCATCCTGCTCTTAACACTGTAAATCAGTAATTCCGGGCGCTCAAATATATAAGAAGCATCTATGTTTTCCCTGGCTAGCAACATCTCACCAAACTCCTTAATCTTCGTCTCAGATACAGCAAATACATGAGGTGACCTCCTAAACACAGACAAAATTTGATCCTCTGATAATCCAAAGCTGCTAAACAGCTTCAGTTTGTTTTCCCATGTCTCTGGGGACATTGAACTCAGTGTTCGAACAGCGTAAAGATACATCTTGGACACCCTACTGACTCCCAATTCATCAACCCTTTTAACCAATTCTCTCATGCCCTCAGGTTTGATCAAGAAAAATCTAGGAAAACTGTAAACAAAATTAATAATCTGCGACGAACTAACCCCACAACTCCTAAGGAGTTCTATGTTGGGCATCATAGTCTTGTCTAAATCTAGTTTCAAAAACCACCCAGAAATCTTTAAGGCCTTGCAAACAGCAGCACTTGAACCTAAAACAGTTTTCAATACTGAAATGGATGGGGCAAGTCTTCTATCCAAACTTCTCTGTAACAACCAGGGATCAGTAGCCATAAAGTCAGCGATTTCATCTGGGGAAAACCCAAGGTCCCGAAAAATCTCAAGTTTGGGCTTGATGGTGCTATCGACGCTAGAACAGAGAAGATTGGGCTTCCTTTTAAGGATTTCTTCGATATGGGATTTGGTAAAACCGTTTTCTTTGAGAAAGGAAAGTATGGAATCAGAGTTTTCAGGATTCTTCAGATATGGAATGGATGATGAGGCTTTCAGGGCTACTTCTGGGGAAAACTGGTGATTGATCAAGTAATCGAGCATGGGAAAGGAGGATTTTGATTTCTCGGGTGTAGAAGAAGTGAAGGAGAGGACATAAAGAGAATTAGAGATGGGGGGCTTGTGGAGAAAAGCGGTGTTGTTTAGGGAGAGTGAGATTAGAGATCTGCAGATTCGGCGTGCCATTGTTCTACAGATTATATCTTTCGGTTTACATGAAAAGGAAAAATATAAAGATGAAAACTTTGAGGTTAATGTGAAACTTGCCTGTAGTACCTCCTTGTCTTCCACCTCTCCGAGCTCACAACAATGGCAGTGCGGAGGCTGAAACTGCTTTGGTTGCAGCGATTATGAAAATCCTTCTGGGATTGCAATTTGAAGCCCTAATTTTATCTGACCCAAAGAATTTACCATTATTGGATCCGACTTATAAGCCCACAGGCCACACTGAGCCCAATAGACATATTGATTATAAAACAGTTATCATTAAATTAGAGGAGGATTTCTCTTCCTTGTAAGGTAATGTTTTGTAATTTAGTATAGTTTAAACGCTAAAATAGAAACTCTTCATATTAAATAAAATAGAGTGCACCTTAGTAATCCCCTCAACCACCTTGCATTCCCAGCTCTCTCAAGGACATATCTTCTGCATCAACATGTAACATTTGGGAGACTCGGAGGCCAATCCTTTGTCTTGCTGGTTTTGTTATAAAAGCTTCCGCCAGTAAACTGGCTTGCATATTGTCCCAATATTTGCTTCCTTTTGTTGAACAGGGGACACAGAAATTGTTTCCATTTACAAGATACAACTTGCTTATAAGTAGATTCAATATTGAAGTTAACATCAATCCTTCTATAATTAATATATTTCATTTTCTGTTTTTCAGGAAATGTGAACTTCATTCGAACCAAAAGTGATGAAGGGTGCAACTATTAAAAGCCACTGCTACAATTTTAGTTACAGAAAGAATAAAAAAACTAATATATAACACTACAACAATCAAACTTGAGAATATAATGTTGCACAAGTTAATGCCAAATCTATTGCCATAGTGAAGCACAACGTTTAACAAAGCTCAAAATCCTGTCACACACATCATCAACAGTACTCCCAACAAACCTTCTCTTCTGAAAACAATCCAAGCAAAACTTTAAAAAGAGAGTAACACGATACCTTTTATAAATTTTGCAACATTGAATTTGAACTTCTAAGCTAACTTGAATAGTTTGTCAGACATGAACTCAAGTTAATGATTTAATGACAAGGAGCCTGTGCATGAAGATTGTTCAGAGTCCTACAAGTCAAGGTGATTTTACTAATTATCCACAAAAAACAACT